AGTTTTCCCAGATGTCCAAATGGTTTTCCTTATTGACTTGTTTTTTGAGTTTTATGTTCTCTGGTGGGTGAAAATTATGTTTGTTTTGTATGGCGTGTGTTGCGAGGTTTGATTTATATATTATTGGGTTTATGCATGGCTTTTTGTGCTCGTCGTGTTTTTGGATCAGTTTTTTCTTGGTTTGATCCACGTAGAATTGGTTGCAGTCCGAGCATTGTATACTGTACACCTCGATGTTGATGTTCAGGGGTTTTTTGGTTTGTGACCTACGTACGCAAATGCTGTCCATCGTTGTGTTGTTTCATCTGGAGAATCCTTGTTCTGTATTTCTTGTTTGATTCTATATTGTAATTTATCTATTGTCTTTTGGGTGTATTATATTGGGTGCGTTATAGGCAGCCATTTTGTGTGATGGTGGGTGGTTCGAACTTGCGGGTATGGTGGAGCTTGTTTGTGTAGGTTTCCTGTTTGTAATTCTTCTATTGGTCTGCCCGATGTAAGTTCTGGGGCAGTTAGAACATGGTATTTCGTATATGTCCTGTGCTTCATTGGATATCGTGTCCTTGGGTGTTCTTATCATAGTGGAGATTTGGTTGTGAATACTGTCTTTACGTTATGTTTCTTCAGAATTCGGCTCCCTTTGTCAGTAACTCTATGGATGTAGCGGAGAAAAGCTTTTGTTTGTTTGTTCTGTTCCTCAGGTAACTCGTGTTGTGGGGTTTGTGTTTGATGTCGTTGGATGGATCTTTGTATTTGGGAGACGGGATAGTCGTTCTGGTGAAGGGCGGCTGTGAGTTCGTATAGTTCTCTGGATCTATTGTGATTGTCAGTGAGTCTTATAGAACGATGAATGAAAGAATTCAGAATGGAATTCAGTTGGGCAGGATGATGATGGGACTTGGCATTGAGGTAGCGGTTAGTATGGGTAGGTTTTCGGTAGACCGTGTGTGAGAAGGAGTTGTTGGATTTTGTGATGAGAACGTTCAGGAAAGGGAGTGAGTTATTATTTTCAATTTTCATTGTGAACTTTAGGTCGGGGTGTAAAGAGTTGATGTGGCTCAGGAATGCATGAAGATCGTCGGATCCATGGGGCCATATAACGAACACGTCATCCACGTATTGGAGGCAACACGTGGGTTTGAGCCACGTCTTTCATAATTCATTCACGCCTTCAACGATCTTAAAAACTTTCGTAGGTTGCTATCGCCTGAAACTCGCCAATCACACTCACCGTTTGAGAAAAGCTTACTATAAGTCCCAATCGATCATCGTTTTTCAATCAGTCAACCCACATCCCCTAAAAACTCTGAGATTTTTTGCAAGTTTCTATCCAAGACTATACCGGGTCATAACGAATTCCTTGAAGACTGCGTCAGTTATTTCTATTCTATTCTATTTCAGTATAACAAGAATTATGAACACGTCTGAAGAAACCATTGCATAGCGAAATACATGTTGCGGTTTCGTAAACTGTTGAGTGAAAATCTCACAATGAAGTGTTACTTGAATACGTCATAGACCTTGAGGTATCGGCCTGGTGGAAAGAAATTGTCCCTTGTATTATATTGTTGAAAATAAGATGTTACATTTTATCGAATGATTTGAAAAAATATACAGAGTTCTTTTCAAAAATTTTCCTTGGGTCCATTTCCAGTTCAACCTATTCTTTTGTATCAGAAATATTGAAATTCCAAATTCCTCACCCTAGAAACAACTGAAAGGCGCAGTGCACAATGATTCCGTTGTCATGCGCTATTGAGAAGCGATATGTTTTTTAATTATCGATTTAATCCAAATGTTTAATAAAAAAAGTAATCAGATTTCACCAATAATTTTTGACCAGATAAATTAATATCTAATCAATATTTTATTTACTATGAGTTTATAGTATAAAAATTAATGTATAAAAACAAAGAAATGTGTGGTGAAAAACTTAAACGAGATTGGTATTGTTTACGGTAGCTGGTAAGACGGTATGTCTTGCCACAAGATGTTTGTACCGTATTTGCAAACTATGAACTGTATTTGTGATACGCGTTAAGAGGGTATGTCTTATTACTAGTACTTCCGGACGCAGACTGAATTGAATTTTCACTTGGTCCTATCCCCCAAAATATTCCTTTTGAGAGAGGGTAATTTATAAGGATAGATTGGAATTATTGTCAAGTCACGTACTTCTCGAACATATTTAAAAAGGGTCGAAATTCGGCAAACAGAGAAATTAGTAAAAATTGTAGATAATATCTGCCATAATTTCAAAAAGCTGGGAAAGCAGAAATGTGTCACGCTATCTTTAGAAACCCCGGTATTTGAACCCAACAAATATAGCTATGAAGAAATAAAATAAACGGTCTTGAGAAAGTTAACGATAGGAGTATACATATGCCTTTTATTGAGGGTTGAATTGCAGCTATACCCATCGTAAATAAATACCAATAACGTGAAAGTTTTCAATTTCAAAAATAACAAGAAATTAGAAATAAAGTCTTTGAGATTACCATTCGACCCGAGGGTCAAAAATGTTAAATCAAAAAATTATTAAAATTATGTAAAAAAACACTGATAAGTTTCAACACGATACATTCAAAAACAGAAACAAATTCACCTGAAGAGAAGAGGGAAATAACATTATTGGAATTTGGCTACCCGGGGTTAATATCAGATCATTCAATTCCACTAATAGGAACTAATAAGCCACGCCAACCTTGAATATAATGAAACTGGAGACCCAAACCAATGTCTAGTGTCTGCTTTGAGGTTAACCAGATCACTTCGTCGGGTGCCTCACCGCCTTCAATAATTGTCTACCGCATTCGTAGACGAAATGTCAGGCATAGAAACCTGCAAAACTGGGTCCACAAACTCGCTTTGGCACACTTATCTTCAGCCGTGAAAGTTTACACTCTGTAACATTTCATTTTTCCACTTTCCATGTTACATTGTGTGCGTGGCAATCTGAACAGAAATGAACCCTTTTCGTCAATTTCAACTTGTATTCCAAATAAATCGCAATCAGAAAGTTGACACCTATTCCAAGTCCATACTGTTTATTTTTTCATTATTCTACATTTTACAGTTAGGTATACAAATAGACGTCAACAAAAACTCTTCTTCTGCTGTTCAGTTCAGAGTTATTTTCCATAGTGATTAACGTAGAGTGAGAAGTAAGGCACAAAAAGAGACTTTTAGTAATGGTATACTCAGAATCGGCGGACCCCCTTTGTGTGTATGTTTGAAGGGACTGATGGAACAGGTGAAAACATTTCCTCGGTTTTGAACTAAAACCTATTTTGAAAGGTTCCTGGCTTCACGTAAAGAGCAGTAGTGGTGATTTGAATAGAAATTTTGAGAATCATCTATTAGAATGAATTCCAGTGTAGTTCTGTCAGGTTAAAGCATAAGAACAGTGAAAGCAAATGAACCAGTAAAAGAAAAGTAAAAGCATAAGAACAGTTGAAGCATATGAACCAGTAAAAGCATAAGAACAGTAAAAGCATATGAACCAGTAAAATAATAAGAACAGTAAAAGCACAAGAACAGTAAAAGCACATGAACCAGTAAAAGCATAAGAACAGTAAAAGCATATGAACCAGTAAAATAATAAGAACAGTGAAAGCACAATAACAGTAAAAGCACAAGAACAGTTAAAGCATATGAACCAGTAAAAGCATAAGAACAGTAAAAGCATAAGAACCAGTAAAAGCATAAGAACAATAAAAGCAGAAGAACCAGTAAAAGTATAAGAACCCCTTAAATCATAAACATAAGTTACTGCATAAGAACAGGAATGAATTGAATAAATTAGACACAACGAGAAAATCGTCTTGGACGTGTCTGGATGCACTGTAAAAAAGATCTGAGGTGGCTACTGCTGTAAACTGCGGTAATTCAGGATCTCGAGAATCAGAGGAGTCTAGTTCGAGGAGTGTAAAACAAAAGCCTCGGGTTTCCTTGATGGTTTCTGGAAATAGGATTTCAATCGGAAGTTGCATCAAACCCTAGGGCAAGACCCTGTAGTTTGTTACTTTTCCTATTGAAAAAACCATTGGAAAGTGTAGAACATTTCAGATAACTGTTTTAAATTCGATATCAATTTTTAATTCGCCTATATATTTCCAAATTTTGCATGCAAACCCTCTCAAATCTCTCAAGTAAACTGTATAACTTGTTTTATTAGTAATACTTGAAGTGTCTCCTCTCTCGGTGTAACTAAGTCGGTCTGCAGTGACGATTGTTGAAAAGGGGTACAATATTTCAGTCATTCCAATTGGGCCCAGGAACTACTTACTTGCTCTAAATCAAGAAACGAGTGAAAAAGCGACACAACTCTTTAATAATATACTGTTTCATGATCGGACACGACAGTATTCACTCAGACAAACTGCGATTTCACTGCGATTTTGAGCGACAACACTTGTAACTTTCATCAATCACCATTATTTTTGAACTTCACTTCAATCCTATTATAAATAATCGAAAAAAAATATCGGCCGATGGATTAGTCCACACAGAAATGAAGATTGTATTCAGAATGAGTGATGAAATTTCATCAGTTTGTGTGACGGAAACAATTTACTGAACAAATGAATGGAATATTTTAACTGTCACTTATTTCCGCTCTTGAGTTAATGAAAATGTTTTGTACAATAAGCCGTTGTTTAGTCATCAGAGATAATATTTTTTAGTATATTATAAATTAAATGTCCAGATGAATCTCATCTAGTATTTTTCATAGATATTATCAATTGACAATCCATAGAAAAAGTTTGTTATAATGAAGCTTCCAGACACGCTAATTGTGCCACTAATCAATTTTCTTCATTATCAACTTCAAGATCGATTTCGAAGACAGTGGCAAACAAAAAACACATGCAAGCACCAAAAGTCATGCAGAATATGTGCCAAGGTTTGACATTAAATGAAACAGCGATAAAGTGCTTATGGAAAAGAAGGAGGCATGTGCTTTTAGACTACCTAAAAGGTGCTTGCTACTCAGGTACCTGTTCAACCCATAAATTCGTTGTCATGATTTGGTTCTTGAGATTCTGAAATAAAAGAAAATGTTATTTCATTCATTTTCCTCTAATATATCAGTGTGAAAGCTGAAATAAAACGTGTTTGGACACTATTCATATAAAAAGTTCAATTCTCAATAAGCAAAAATTTGGTTTGGTGAGGCATTTCGAGTAATAAAAGAGTTTTTGTAATAAGAAAATAAGCATTTCGATACATTCACCAACATTTCCTCACAGTAGAATCTGGTAAATGCCTGTCAACACTACTTTCCTGGCTAATACCACGGTGGATATTGAATTATATCTGACAGATATTCATGCAAGTTACCTCTCAGAGGGTAGTCTTGCAGATGCTTCGTGTTTATCCAGCAGCAGAACCGCGCTGAAATCAATCTACTAGAGCACCTTATGACCTGTTTTGGGGTATAACTCCTCGTCAGAACAGAAAAGATCCGACTCACACAGCATTGTGCCTGAGACTCGACTAACTCCAAACGTGCATGTATGAAACCTTCGTTTCAGAGGAAGATTTATTAACTAGTAACTGCTCCATCTGGCAAAAGCAGAAAGAAAAATCCAATGTACCGACAGTATAACAGGAATAAAAATAAGTCTGTTGACTCGTAACTGAGATAGATATATACTTGCCAGGTTAATGCCACGAAGAAGACTGAATTTTTTTCTAAGGACCAAATACAAGCACTACAGGAAAAATCTTAAGGTGCTCTAAAAGTGGTGCCTGTGCGAAAGTTGCGATTCATATTGGATTTGGATAGCTGGAGATTAAATCCATTTGGAAAAACGTTTTCAGGAAGTTTATTCCAGATAAATGCAGTTTTCCAAATGAAAGAGTTCCTAAACAGTGAAGTTTGAGGTGAAGAGGTTGAACCTCAAAAAGATGAGCAGCTACAGTCCGTCGCGAATTTCTGATATGTACCGTTGTTGATGGAATCAAATGTGCCAAGTCACTTGAACACTTCCTTTGAAATTATCTATAGAAGAAATAAATCTCAAATCTTTCTTCGATGTTCCAGACTATCAAGGTTGTAAGTGATGTTCGCGTATCCCATCAGGCGGTTGGCTCTTTTCTGGATGGAATCCAGCAGCTTCAGAGTATGCTTAGGGGCGAAGCTCCATACATGAGGACAATATTCCAAAGAAGGTCTGATCTGAGCTTTATGAAGCATTAAAAGTTGGTGAGGTGTGTACAGTTTTCTGATTCGGGACAGTGTTACAAGCTTTGCAATTCCAGCGAAATAATTGTGCCAAGACGTATTGGTGTCCATTTTAACCCCCAACAAACTTAGACGAGTGTGCTGTAGTCAGCAAAGCATGATATTGGATTCGTGTTTTCTTCCAATAAGTGTCGGTGATATATAATAAAAAGAAGGTTGGATACAATATGGATCCCTGAGGAACACTCAGCAGTGATGGTGAACGTTTTCGAGAGAAATCTATCGACGGACACTTACAGGAAACGTCCTTTCAAGAAGCTGGAGAGGTATACACGAAAACGATCCGACAAGCAATAGCATGGAAGTTTTGCCAGAAAACCCTCATGACACACATGGTCAGAGGCTTTAGAAATATCACGCGCAACAGCTCTTGACTCCCCATGTTTCGCCTGTTGATCTTTGTTCCCGAAAGTCATATTGATTATTATGCTATCACTGATAGCAAAGATAGAAATACTTGATAGAAATACTGGAGATTGTGTTGACCAACAGCTGCATCTATGATTTACGTCATCAATGATAATATAGCAAGTGAGGTCACTGATAGTGGAGCATCATGATTCTCAGGAATTCTTCAATGCCCGATGTCGCTGTTCTGTTTTTGTCTAACTAAATTAAATTGAAATTCTTCTAGAATAGTCTAAATAGCTCCATTAATATTTCTGGATATAATTTAGTGTCCATAGTGGTATTAGCCGGAGAATTAATTTTCGGTAGGAATTTATAAGATCGTACTGCGAAATATATATTTTTTCAATACTTATGTATCTCTCCTCGTATTTTGATTTCTGTTAGACTTTTTGGTTTATAAAATCAGTGATTTTTGAAAGTAAGATATTATGTTGTTGTTCCTTCCATGACTTTCTAGATAACAGATATATTTTTAGGGACTATTTGGACTCTATTCGTTCCACAATTGCCATTTGTTTACTGTTTTTGAAAGGAATAACTTGACCATTTCTTCCGAATCTCCCATTGTTTCATGACATCCATTCCAACAAGCTTAGTCCCCTGGAATAGTCTATGCATGTATCTTGCTGGATGTATGTCATATTCTTCTGAACATAATTTGGGTTGTCCATAAATCGTTTACTTTCAAAACCTCACATTCGCATAAAATATGTTGAGAGGTCTCTTTTTGTTACTTCGGCTGCAACTGAGGTCTCCATTAAACAACCCTATTTTATTCAGGTGTCCTCTCAATGGACAGTGTCCATTGAGTAGCACTGTAATTTTTCTCAGCCAATCCCTGCTTTTTTGGAGCAGTTCTTCGGTTTTATTCTCGGACGGTCCCTTCATAAAAGTTTTCCCGTGTCTGTTCCCCTGGATGTGTCCTCAGGCGTGTTTTCCCAGTACTCTCTATGTTTATATTTCTCAATTTGGTTTTGAATAAAATATCTTTGGTACGCCCTCTAGGGGTACCAAAGGCCTATATATCAATATCCGTGTCTCGTTTCGTTGAGGTCTCAAATTGATGTTTTTCCCCGCATGGTATATTCCAGCTCCCGTCGCATATTTGGTTTTTGACCCGTCTGTGTACCAGATATTTCTGTAGAGCATTTCCTTAGAATGAATGTTCAATCTCTAATCTTCGCGGTCTTAAATTTCAACCGCGTGCTGCTTGTATATACTAATTTGAACATATTGGATGTGTGTTAGGAGTCTAGATATAATTTGGGTTGTTTCAAAACTGCTTGCTTCCTGTAATCTAGTGCCTGACAATCACATTGAACATGAAGAGCTGTCTCTTTTCCTCTGAAACATTTCCTGCAGCTAAGATCTCCATCATCTAGCCTGTTTAGGTTTCTTCTGAATGAAAAGTGTTCTGTGGATACCTCTGTAATCATTCTGAGTCGATTTTTGTCTTGCTGAAACTGTTTTTCAGTTTTCTCAGACGATGTCCTCTCCTTTAACGATGTGGCGCTATCTATGGAAATTACAAAAGACGAATATCAATGCTGAACGAGGATAATCTTGGACGGCATCGATGGCGAAACTTGCCTGTGGCTTATGGCTGTGGTGTTAGATTACAAATGCGTTTGTTTAGGGTCTTGTTTCGACTAGTCATTGATTTATTTTTTAAATGTGATGAAAAAATACTTACAACATCAATAAGTTGTGATAGTTTGAGCTTAATCTTAACGGTGAGAGCATCTGTAACGTTGATGACGGGTCGCACCAGTTTATTGTAGTTTGATAAAAGATCGTCGTAGAGACGTTTGGCATCTGGATTACCGGAACATCCTGAAACAACGAAATACATGTAATTTTAAAAATAATTGTAATACAACACCAAAGTCGATTAAAAGAGAGTTTGAAAATTACATTGAAAAAAGGTGAAGGAACTGTTCATTCTAATCACTTTTGTAACCTTTTGGATAAAACAGATACCAACTACGAGTAAAGTAATACAAAATGATATGACAGATGATTATGGAGGATTATTGATAAAAAACGTGATGGTATATTTCAGGAGTTTATGGTACACCATGACCTTTCTGAAGATTATGTGAAACAACATTTGGTATGTTTTCGTTTTTTGTCACAAAGACTGGTTTTATTCTCTCTTAGATTACATGTATTAGTTTCGATTAGATTAGTGCATACGGTTTCTCAATTTCCTATTTAATTAAACTTCCTACACAATCTGTCGTGATGTACTGCTGTTTTTGCTAAAATATCTTAGTAGCTATCTTCATATCTCATCTACATTTTTTGGAGAATTGACAGTTACTATAGTTGTCATGTATTCTATTGTATACAACTTGAGATCGCTTGTGTTCTTTGGTGTTCTACATCTTTGAGTTTTTTTGTAAAAATGTTTGGCATATTATGTCATAAGGACCCGTAATCCGTGACATACAGTAGGAAAAATGTCTTTGGCATTCGAACGTTCTGTTTTTTGACCGTTCTGCTGTTCAATACACGAAAGGAAGATGGCTGTTTTCTTAACTGAAACAAGTTACTGAGAATATTAAAAAGTTTCAAGCAAGACTCTAGTACTATCCATACATGATGATTATTGTGCACGACAGAAGAAATAGGCTAATGAAACCCTCCAAAGAACAAACTGTTTGTTCGAAGCTGCAGAAGAAAATATAGGGATTGTTCCTTCTGAGTTATGCTCAGAATCAAACGAAATTTTTATTTTCTAATTGAATATGAATTTGATCTTAATGTCATCGAAACTGTAAGTGTAACAAGGCAAAAGTCTGAATTCTTAATAGGGTAAGATATATATTGGTCTTCCTGAGTCTTCAAAGAAATATCCCGGACTTGAAAATAGTAACATTGGTGTATAGATCTTGAGACAAAAAACGCATCTGTTGACAAAGGGTCATGTAACGATGCAGAATAATAGGTCTTAACATGATAGTTCTCATGTTTTTGTAGTTTCTATTTCTTCCTATAGGAAAATTTTCTTTAAACTACATAGAAACTCTTCAGAATAAAAAAGTTTGAAGAATTTTGGCAAGTACAAGCTTCGCAGGAAAACCCTTGAAAGCACTAAAAGTGGTTTTTGTGATAAGTAGGACACAGTCGAACACTTTCCATGAAAATATCTATAAAAGGACACAAATATATTTTTCGTAGAGATTCCAGCAACTTCAGAATATGCTAAATGGCAATTTGATGCAAACTTCCAGCTTTTTTTGGGCAGGAACTACCAACCTTGATCTAGGTAGGTCCAAAGTGAGTAAGTGAGTCCTACTCTACATTGCAATTCACAGGGGTTTATTGTGACAATTACTTTACTTTTCTGACTGAGTCGGCCGTTACTTGATGAAGATCCATAGTAATTTCATGAACTACACCTCACGATTTGATCTCCACAAACTTTTGGAGTTTGATCACGATTTGATCTCCACAAACGTTTGAAGTTTAGTGTAGTTTATGAAAAATTCAGGTGAATAAAGACGTTTTATTATTATTATTATAAAACGTGTTCGACAGAATCCGATCGCATGCCAATCCAGCGCTACGCGATCTACACGAAGCATTAAATAGGGATGACCCCAGATTTTGAGAAAGAGATAAATACAAGAGGCCAACAAACAGAATCAGAGACCACCCTCGAGAGTCACTATCAGGCAGCTCCGGTAAGTATAAAAACTTTATGACCAGATTTCAAACCCACTTCATTTGTATATTCACTGAGAAACACTTGTTCGCGACTTCAAGACACTCGTCTCCGGTTAGTTTTTGGGGGCCCCATGCAATAATTACATTCAAGTAAAGTCACGACTCAATAAAATATTAGATTAGAAAGTAAAAGCACCTAAAGGTGGCTTTCGACCGCAGTAGGTCAGATGTTAATCATGCTGAACTGCCCATCAGTAAATTGAGGATCGCTTCGGAAGAGCGGGGGTGAATTAACGAGATGGAATGTTCTGCACACAGTAACCGTGAGGGGGCATGGGGATCTGTTATTTATTCTGGCAGTATTATGAATGTTCAATCGTTTTTGATGAAACTGACGACTGATCTTCATTTGCTGCAACCACATTGGTTGCAGCAAATGCAGATGTTGAAGCATTTCAAATATTAATTCAGTGCGAGAGCGCATCTCTTTCAGCCAATTGAAGAGAAATAATTCGATGTGAAAAACATCAAACAATTCAGACTGGAAACCGAATAATCTGCCGGCAATCTCGAAATTGGACGTAATGGAATTCTCGCGCCTGCTGATCACATTGCCTTGTAGTTATTGACGGAGATATTTAATCCGCCAACATCGGTTAAAGCGGTTTGAGAAATTCTCAGGAAACAGGAAGCCGTGAAGGAAATTGCGTTGCTTCTCGAAAGGAAAGCGTCTCATATCGATGGCTAAATTTAATTTCGCCGTGGAAGTCTGACAGATGAGCGTTTTATCTGATTGGGATAGGCAGGATCTCGACATATATCAAATCATATCGGGCTTCCTTTTTGTCTGTAAGAAGAACGGATGTCACACAATCATTTCACCAATAACTGTTTCTTGAATATATATTCATGATCTCAGTTTTTATGAATATGGCAAACTGGCAGAACATTCAAAAATCGTATCCAGGAACATCATATGAGAATAAGAAAATAAAATCAACATATTCAAATCATTTCTTAGAAGAAAATCCTATCTTTAATGGAGATTTCGAAATTTTACACATAGAAAATAAAGGTTCAAATCTAAATCATTTGGAAGCAGAGTCAGCCAATCGTCGGTAGCCAATCGGTTCGGCGTGGGTGCTTTGTTCACTCACTCGAATTGACTGCCGTGTTGGTCGGTGGTTCNGATGCAAACTTCCAGCTTTTTTTGGGCAGGAACTACCAACCTTGATCTAGGTCCAAAGTGAGTAAATGAGTCCTACCCTACATTGCAATTCACAGGGGTTTATTGTGACAATTACTTTACTTTTCTGATTGAGTCGGCCGTTACTTGATGAAGATCCATAGTTATTTCATAAACTACACCTCACGATTTGATCTCCACAAACTTTTGGAGTTTGATCACGATTTGATCTCCACAAACGTTTGAAGTTTAGTGTAGTTTATGAAAAAGACGATTACTTTATTTGGTGAACGATCTTTCGAGTCAACTTCTAGAGTAATACTCCGACGCTGAATATCTGACGACGCGACGGTCAGTCTGCGACTACTGCCGTTAAATACATGAGCAACTCAAATGTGTGGCTCGGGAAGTCATGTCTTTTGTGACGCATTTTAGGGAAATGCTCTACCATGGGTATTAACTGCGCCCATCTTCCAAAAGACGGTCTCCTGATCCAGAGGAAAAAGCTATTCCAGGCTTTTTCCTCTGGTTTGGATGAGTTATTGTTTGGGCGCAAGCAATCGCTGACTTACTCAGGGAGAGTTGGTTTCCACTCCTGATATAGAATATGTTTCTGTTGCAAGACATGAGATATCTTGTACTTGAGAAAATGATCAGTGCTTCCTAGCTGCATCACCTAGTCTCCTATGTTTGCTAACAGGATGAAGAGTTTTCAGAACTGAAAACCGTTTGTTTTTGATCTGTTGGGGAGGCACAAAAAGAGACTTTCAGTAA